CTTTCACCCCATTCGAAGACTTAGTACTCCAAAGGTATCCAGGCTGTAGTTGGCTGACCAGACAAAATAGAGGATCTTTGCTGGGAATGTGGGTTTATTGTGCCGGACTAACATCCAGAAATTATGAAAGCATTATATTTTCTGATTGTGATCGCCAAACACATCGCATGAAATAAAAAGTTCCTCTTGAAAATCCTTTAGCTTTTAGAATGAACTGCAAATCTCTCCATTTGTTGAGAAATAATAAAGCGTCGCACCACAATTGAGAGGAGGAGTTGGTCTCAAAGTACCTACTATATATGCATTATTAGATTCCAAAAATTTTATATCGACGAGGAGGTCTCGGAGTTTTTATGTGCTTCAATCCATATTTATCGATTCGTTTCAAAGAACCTCCGAATTTTATACTCTTTCCTCTCCAACTCTAAACTTTCCACTAGTTGAATTTTCTTTAAACTTCAAGAGCTTCAAATTCTCAACCCTTTAAAAGCCTTCGTACAATTTTCTCTAGCTGCAGCTCGTGGCTATTGGCTGCTGACTATTGGCTTGCTGGCTGATAGGTTGGCTTTGCTGTGGCATGAACTTTTTCAACGTTGCATGCTCGGAATATGTGGCGAAAATACTTTCATTATTGAGCAACCGAAGCATTCAATTGTATGTATGTATTCAAGCAAGCGGCCGCGGTAGCCGAGTGGTTGGAATTGCGCACTGCCATTCGGAAGGCGCGGATTCAAATCCTTGTGTCGTACTAACATTCAAAAAAGTTATAGAAAATTAATGTAAATAAAAAAATTAAGCTAAATTTTCTAATTGCGGTCCTTCCTCGACAAAAAATGTCAACACCTGCGAGAGTATTTCGGACTTGAAATAAAGGCTCCTCATAGAAAACCAACAGCCGTCCGGTGGAGGCTTAGTATAAACTGTAGATCCCTCCATTTGTTGTTTTAAAAATATCAACACGCAAAACCACAAATTGGCGGAAGAGCTCGGCCGAAAATTACTTCAGCGGTTATACAAAGCAACAGTTATACATATATATATATATATATATATATATATATATATATATATGCTGCATATATATGCTATATATATAAGCTATATATATATATGCTATATATATATATATACATTTGCAAGCCGGCTGATGACTTTTTCTTTTTATTTCATTTATTTATAACTTATTTCTCCTCTCATCATCTTCGCTCCTTAATTTGCCATTTTTTTTCACTTCCACTTTTTTTGCTTTTTATTTATTTTACTTCGAACAGACTTTCAGCATTCTACTCTTCCTAGTCTGCCGCAGCTACAGGAACATGTGTTTCCATCGCCACTGATTAGATATTTATGTATGTATGTATATATGTGTGTTTTGCATGTGTCTGTGTGTGTGTATGTGTGTGTGTGTTATGTGGCACGCTTAGCATCCGCTAACATATTTTTTTACTCGCCCCCAGCCTGCTGCTACCGCCAACATATACATATACATATATTTGTCGTAAATCACATTTTATGCTGATTAGTTCGGGTAATAGGCAACAGCAGCAGCAACAACAACAACAACTTGACTAACGCTAGACCAATGAATGTTGGTTCCGCTGCCAACAGGACCAAGTCGAAACAGAAACTGTAGGAGCAGCAGCAGCAGCGGCGGCAGCAGCAGCAGCAATAACGCCAATGGGAAGCACGACGAAAATTAAATACGAAGTGAGGCAGCGAGCGGTCTGTATGAAGCTGTGGAAGACATCGCGGAACTTGCCTACCGGCAGCTGCATAACCTCAACGCATCCTCAAAGTGCCAAATTACACCAAAATGGCAACAAATTCATTCAGCCTGACATAAACAGTTAGAAAATAGCAAGCACATGTACTATATACACGCATACATACACACATACATACACGTAGACATACTCGTAGTAAGTATGTCCTGTTTGTGTCTACTCCAGTCAAATACGGTAGAGAGCACTCGACGAGTTTTCGACAAGCAGCAAACACATTCCATGGCGGTACTCGTACGTATTCGCATGTGTGTATGTACGAGTATGTATGTATTCATGTAGAGTCACTCGTGCTATGCGCGTTTCGTACGTGATGATTACATGTAATTAATTTACTGCGGCATCAGCGTAATTGAAATTATAATTACAGGCTCCACGCCTGTTATACATACATATATACATAAACTATATTTGTATGTTTATACATTTGTATGTATGCTCATAAATATTACTTAAATGTTATGACAAGTGATAGAGTGCGAGTGCTCCAACATTAGTTTGTTAGCAGCTGTCTTCCACCAAGGGCTGAGACGAGAGCGACATCTATCTACCAGTGTGTTGTTGTTGGAAATTTCGGCTACTCATCTAGGGGAAAGGACGTCACGGACTTCACAGTTTACCGCCATTAGTACGCGTGGCGTTGCGTTTAGGTTAGAGGTCAGCATTTCAGCAGTTCTACCAAATTAATCTGCACCACAATGCGGTACATTCAATCACAGCTGACAGGTGGGCAAGTGGTAGGAGGTCAGTTTACGGCGAAGTACTATGCGAGCAAAAAACAGGCAAAAAAAAGAAGAAAAAAGTTAGCCATAAAAACTTTTAATATTTATGCGTTTGCTGGCTAAAGCGTGAGTACTTTTTTTTCTCATTTCAGTAATTGTTAGACTGTCGAAAAAGCACTTTCCAAATGTAAAAAAAAAAAACAAACTATGCTGAGAAAGTACACATACATACATAGATACGGGGAACGCGAGAAGCTTCAGTGCGTTAGCAGCCGAGCAATAACTTCAGCAAAAAAAAAATAAAAACAAAAAAAATACTTACGCGCCAGAAGCAATCACTTAGGCGAGTTAGATACCGTTATTTTTTATTTTTTTTTATTTTTCGCTTATGTTTTTTTTTTTGGTTTTTATCTACCTTTGAGTTGAGTACGAATGATGATGGCACTTAAATTGATACAACTGCGTAGTGGTCATTGGAGGGGTTCACCCGTAGAGTGGAACCTACAAGTAGGATGCCACGTAGGCTGCACAGAAAGGCAAGGGAAGGCACTCATGTACATACATACATACATACATACATACATACATACATATGCCCATATAAAGTTTTAGATTAAGGTATTTAGTTATATATGCCGCTTCGATATACATACATATACATGTAATGCATAAAGCTCGGTTACTCGGTCGCCTTTTGTAGTAAGCAGAGACTCGGTCAGTGCACGCTAGGGACGCTCTACTTACATACTACATGTTTGTACATACTAACTAATTGAAACATACATAAATACATATATACGACATACGTACTACAACAAGCAACAAAAAATTCGTGACGAGGATGAGCACACACACACGCATACATAAGTACGTGGACAAGCTTCAACATTGGTGACGTTGCTAATGGCAGGGTCGCTGACTTGCATTTATTAGGCTGACGACAATGTCGGGCACCGCAATGAGTGCTCAGCGAGGGGTGGTGTTATGTAGATTTTTTTGCAACAAACATCATAAATATTAGGCAGCGCACAGTTAACGCGGTGGCATATAATTTTTGCGGAAATATACAAAAATATTTTATTTTTCTTAAGTTCATTTCTTATTTTAATTTTTTATTTAATTTAAATTTATTTTGTTTTTTTTTTGTTTTTTATTTTTTTTATATTTTTTTTATTTTTTTTTTTCTTTTAGTTAAATTTATTTCATTTTACTTTTTTATTTTGTTTTACTTTATTTCATTTTATTTTATTTTAAATTAATTTATTTTATATTATAAAATTTTACCCTATTTTTTATATTATTTTATTTTCTCTATTTTTTTATTTTATTTTAGTTAAATTTATTTAATTTTACTTTTTTAATTTTGTTTTACTCTATTTCAAATTTGTTAATCTTATTATAATTTCTTGTATTATAATTTTTTTATTTTATTGTTTATTGTTTCTATATTTTATTTTATTTTATGTTATTTATTTCTTTATATTTTTTTAATTTTTTTTTGTTTTTCATTACATTTTATTAAATTTATTTAATTTTTTTTTTTATATTTTATTATATTTTACGTTATTTAATTTAAATTTTTATATTTTATTTCATTTCATTACATTTTATTTTATTTCATTTTGTTTTACTTTTTTAATTTTGTTTTATTTTATTTCATTTTATTTTATACTGTTTTATTTATTTTATTTTTAACTGCTTTATTTTGCTCAATTTTTTAGCTAATGGAATTTTATTTTATTTTATTTTGTTTTCAATCATTTTTTTATTTATTCATCTTTTTTATTCTATTTTATTTACCTTTATTGTGTTAACTAATTAAATTAGTATTATTTATTTCTTTTTAATTTATTTTAATTTTTTTTATTTTATTTCATTTAATTTTTTTTTTTTGTTTTAGTTAAATTTAATAAATTTGACTTTTTTGTTTCACTTTATTTTTTATTACATTTTGATTTATTATATATTATTTTCGAATTGTTTTTTTTTGATTTGGTTTTATATTTTGGTAATTTATTTTTGCTTTATTTCATTTAAATTTATTTTATTCAACCTAATTTTATTTTAGTTTAATTAATTTTATTTTACGTTATTTTGTTTTATATTATTTTACTTTGCTTCATAATATTTTATTTTATTTTATTTTCTGCTATTTTTTTAGTTAGTATATTTTTATCTTATTTTTATGTAATTTCATTTTTGTTTAATATTTTTATTTTATTTTATTCCATTTTATTTCTGCTTTTATTAAATTTTATTTAGTTATCTTTTATTTTAATATTTATATGTTATTTCATTTTATTTTATATTATTTTAAGTTTTTTAACTTTATTTTATATGATTTTAGTTTTCTATTGTTATGTTTATTATTATTTTCGTACGTTTTGTAATATACGTGTTTTTTTGTCTCGTTAATTTTTTCTGTTTAATTTTTGCAATCTTTGTGTGTTTTTTGTCAGCGGTTAGCTTAGTAATTCGCCGCACTTGTGCAACTTACGTATACAAAAAAGGCACCACTTGTGTGCGCTGTTAAGCCTTTGGAGCAAGTAGAAGCAGCCAAGCGTTGAATGAGCCCGGTTGTGACACACAGATTACACTTTTTCTAGGATTCGTTTTTTTTTTGTTAGCGCTTTCCTGGTTATTATACTTTTTTTCTTTATTTCTTTGCTATTTTTTCACTGTAATTTACCCTCTCTTGATATATTCCTTTTCACCTTTTGGATAGTATTTATTTTTAAATTCTTTTTTACTACACATGCACTGCCAAAAATTGTTTTTTTTTCCACAGTATTTAATTATTTATATATTTTAGCAGCCCGGTGTGCACCCACGTACGGATATATTTCCTGAATGCAACTTGCGAAAAACCCAATAAAGGAAACATCAAACACACTTTGAAAAACAGATTTGTATTTCGAAAAGCATTAAAAAGACTAAAATGTTATAATCATCATCAACATCATCATCCAAAAGCAAGCAAGCAAGCAAGCAGGAAAACCGACCGTCGGCTATTACTATAGTACACAGTGTATGTGCGCGCGACACAAACCCACCAACGTAGCAGGAAGCACATACACGTACGGTGCAAAGTCGCGAGCAAACTGATTTTCCATTTTCGCATTGCACATTGTGTTAGGCACACGTCGGCCGCAGCAGCCAAAGTAGCAGCGCCAGCAGCAATAGCAGCGAGTCTCAGCTATTCGGCCACGTTCGTACGGCATCCATTAACAGAGCAACAGCCAGCAGCAGCCAACTTTCGACTAGCCAACTAGTCATAATAAGACCGCTGCATACAGCATCCAGTGAGCGCCATAGGCATGCAATCACATACACACCTACACATGTGCAGGTACAGCCGAACTAACAACCTGAAGAATTCGGAAAGCACACGAAAGTTGCGCGTCTAACGAAATTAGAAAGGCGTTGAGCGAGTGGAGTCTGAGTGGCACTGCTCTCACTGGAATTTAACATTCCACATTCATTTTGTAAGCAAACGCTGCGCTGCACAAGCAAAAGTGGGGGTGGAGCATGGTGCTCTATGCGCTCGCACAACTGCTTAACTTTCCAATAAAGGCAAGCAGCAGCCGCTCAACACCACACTAGGCTAGCAAGCAACAATTAGATTTCGAAAGTATTCTTCGCAATGCTCCCCAGTCGCTTTCATGTGTGGAGCTGATGGCGCTGGCACGCACTTTAGCAGCCTAGATAAACTGGAATTTGTTGTGCGTAATGGTGTTGCCAACTTTTTTTAATTGAATTTTTTTTATGTAATATAACGGTATAATTTCTTTAATCTACATTCTAGCTTAGAATATTTTTTGGTGTCTGTCAAACAAAAGCCGTGATCAATGGCGCAAGATATTTCATCACAATGAGATGTTAAAGACTGTAAGGCTGGCAAATGTCTGGGGCTTTCGATTTGGTTTGAATTGTGGTGTAAAGTTTCATATACCCCTTGGACTGTTGTAGTGGCTTATGGAGTATTCGAGGGGAAGCAATCCTCTTGAATGTTTCGTTCTTCTAGTGTTCTGAGCTACGAAGTCGCCAATACCTTTGGGAACTGGAATCCAGCAGATATTCTGTGACTTCATTCACTCAACTAACTTATGCATTGATCTTCGGGTCTTAAGTATATTTCATGGCAGCAGCAAGAACTTAGGGGTTAGTGGTGTGTAGTACCATTCGAAAGGCCAGAGTTCTAGTGCTACTAACAGTCCAATATTATAGGAATTCAATTTTACTAATTATGGTCGCCCCTCGGCAGGGAATGCCAAGACCTTGCAGTATGTTTCTGACATAGAATAAAGCTCCCCAAAAAAATTCATCGGCCGTTCGCAGACGGCTTAAACCAAACTGAAGCACTCTCCACCACGAATTGGCAGAGGAGCTCGGTAAGAGTATTCCTTTTTAGTCCGCTTCAACGCTTTTAATATTATGCCATGTGTTGTTGATTGGCTCAGTAGCTTTCTTTCCCGCAAAGACTTGTACCTCAAAAATATCGCAGCATTCCGGAAATCCGATGTTCAATTTGGTGCAATAGATTTCAGCGATCGTGCTATCATCGTAAAGAGGGAGGATACAAAGTTTATTTTTTATTTATCCATAACTTGCTATGCACGAAGGTTCTGAGAGAGAATTGGAAAGTAGGTTGGTGGTGGCTATATTAAGCTTTCGAATGAAGTTCCCCAAGTACTTTTAGCAATACCGTTATTCAAACTGCAACGAATCACAGTAGACATAATTTTTTTAACGCGAATCACTACAGGCACCATGAGGAACGGCTTGGCTTGGCACCTTTATGATGTACAGTGTAGCTCAAGAGTTGGGTCGAATGGTCATTGGTCCGCTCAAGATAGGTGCTACAATTTTTTATGAACCTCTTGCGTACGAAGCGGCATTTCATAGTTTAACACTTCGTCGTGGAATTTCACCGATAAAATTTATTTTACGCTTCAAAACTAATTTCATTTCAAATCAAGTTCTAGAAGACCAGAGGATGCTACATCTCAGAATATCTATGGTTCTGATCCTTTTAGTAATCTTATCCAAAGAAATTTCGCACACTTCTACAGAAAACCCCACTCAGTGTGGCAACACCGTGACATTTGTGAAATGAGTGCGCGCTAGAGAGTTTTGGAGAGCGCACGCATGTTAGCGAGTGAATGCTGCTCTATGAGTAAAGCAAAATATCTCCCACTTTTAGCAGAAATGTGTTGACGTTTAGCATTCCTTTATCTGCTCGTTTATTATTCATAGCTGTACGTTGTTGTTGTTGCTCTCGAAGCAAACGCGTCCATAAGTGGGCCATTACTTCAAAGCTTGCAACAATGTACATAGTCGCTGCCTTGGGAAGCCTCCATCTAGCCACATAAATTCCTGGCTGTTGGAGATCTATCTACACGTACATACAAACAATATGGCAATATGCATACATAATTACATACATACAAAATTTATTTACTTACCAGCTTCTTCTAACTATCTGTTTATTATTACTTTTCCCCATCATTTCACATCTTCATTCTATTACACTAACAGTAACAAATTACATGTATGTGAATATATATACTGTTAGTGTATTTATATATATATATATATGCATATATAAATACAGTGTAGCGTATGTATGTACACAATCCATCTGTACTCTTCAGCACCTTCATTGAAAAGGTGATTAACCCTTGTTGGTTTGCTTGTGTAAAAATGTGATGACTGAATAAACCGGAATTTCCGGTCACCGGGTGGTTAGTGATAACGGTAACAAAACATTTGTATAATTACAAATAGGCTTGGTCGCACTTGTAGATTATGCAATAACAACAATAAAAGAATAAGGATAAAAATGAAATAATAAATTAAATTTCAAAAGAATTGTAGCTCAACAGCCGCAGCCGCTGCCGCAGTAGCAGCTGAACAGACAGATTGTCTCCGGTGGGAGTCGGACCAAACTGGTTGTCGCATTGTTATTGTTAAGATTTATTTTATGTTAAGCTAATTGGGTGATGTTAACTAGGAAAGTGATATGCAAGTACACTGTGGAAAAACTTTCAATTCGTCATACGAATGAGGCTACTGGGGAGAGTATTCTTCTTCCACTCTGTTCAAGTAAGAGAATTGGTGATTGAGTAGATCAAACTAAAGATTTAATGTACTTTTCTCAATATTCAAATATATTCTATAGTTTTTATTTAATTTTCTTACGTTTTTTCAAACTTTTTTATTTTTTTATTAAATATTTGTTTTAACTCACTTCATATAAAATATATTATAAATTACATATATATTTTTGTTTTCTTTTCTGCTTTATTATGATTTTATTTTTTTTATTTATTACATTATTTAAATATATTTAAAATTTTTTAAATAACTTTAATTTTTTTCTTCTGTTTTTTTAAGGTACTTTATGCTTTTTAAATATTTATTAAATTCCTTAATTTTTTACATATATATTATTTATTTAATGTTATTATTTAGTTATTTATTTGCGTAGGTTATTTCCAATTCAAATTCATTTTTTCTATAATATTTTTCTATCTTTTTCATTTTTTGTTTAATTTCTTTAATTTTCCCTATTTTCTAACTTTAGATATGTTTTTAAATTTTTTTATTTTCTTTTTCAATTAAAATTTTTTTTTGTCAATTTACTTTTTATTCTTCATTTCTCTTATTATTTTATTTCTTTTCTATTTAGTCGTTTTGACTTTCTCAGCTAAAATATTTTTTAGTTTTTTTTTTATTTTTATATCATTTTTTTATAATTTTATATGTATTAAATTAGGTTATATAATTTTTTATATAATAATTAGTTATTAATGATTAAGTTATATAATTTTTTCTTTTAATTTAAATTTTTATTTATTTTTATCATTAAATTTACTTTTTGTTTCCAATTAATCATTACTTTTTTACATTTCTGAATATATATTTTCTTTTATTTCTGGTGTCTTTTTATTGTGTTTCCAATTTATTTAAACTTTTTTCATAATTTTAATATTAGTACTTTTGCTCCTTTTATAATTTTTTTTTTTTTCCATTTATTTTTTATTTTACTTAATATTTTTCAATTATTATTTTACTCTTTTTACGTTTCATAATTTATAACTTTTAATATTTTAAATTTTTGAAATTATTCCAACCTTTTCATATTTTTATTAATTTCTAATTATTATTTATTTTTCATTTTTTTAGTCTTTTTATTTTAATTAAATTTTTTTATATTTTTTTTTTAGTTTTCTACAATTAAATATACTTATTTTTCAATTCTTCATTTATTTTATTACTTTTCTCTTTTTATTGTTTTCTTTATGTTTTTTTTTTTGAGTTTTAAATGTTTTTCAACTTTTTTGAATTTTTTTAACATTATTATTAGTTGTTCTTGTTTACTTTTAAGTTTTGTGTCTTTTCATTCTTAATTTCATTATCTTTTTAATTTCCTTTGCACGTTTCTTAATATATTTGTTTTTTTAAGTTTTTTATTTCTTTAATTAATTTAATTTTTTATTTTTTTTAAATCGTGAATATTTTTTGTTTAATAATTTTCTGTTTCAATTTTACTCATTATTTCTCTTTAAAAACATTCATTTAATTTTCGTCTTCTACTTTTCTTTAACTTTCATTTTTTCAATTTCCTTTGATCTAATTTTCCATTACTATACTTACCTTTTTTAATTGCTTAGTTATTTCATAAAATTAAACAATTTATTTTTGTGTATGAGAAATATTTTTTGGTTTATAATTTTTTATTTTTTATTTTTTTTTTATTTGTTTATCAATTTCATTAAAGGAATAATATCATTTTTCAATATAGTATACAGTTTAGCTTAATGTCTATATTCGCAAGTAAATAATATTGAGTTAATTTCTTTTTTTTTTTAATTTTTTACAAGAAATATATATATTTGTTTCGAATAAAATTAACGGAGAGCTTTTAAAAATTACATAACTTAACAACAAGTGAACAACAAGTAAAATATATATGTACATTGATGTATTTATGTATATATAGTACACTTTGTGTGAATGTATATATGTATAGTTGCAGTAAACAATTTAGAAAATTGTTAGAAAAAACTTAACAAATATAGTCGTAGAACGTATACGCTAAGCACGTAAAGCTAAAATTATTTATTATTTTGCATAATATTTAAATTTGTTTTTAATTTTAATTTTTTGTTTGTTTTTTCTTCTTCAATTTGTTGAGTGGCTTAATTATTAATTACGTTAGTGTTCGGTAAGTATGTGTATGTTTTGTTCATAATTTACTTAAATATAAATTTTTTATTAATTTTTCTAGGAGCACGCACGTATTTAAATAATTTTTTTAATTTTTATCATTTTTTTAAATTTTGTTAAATCAATTTCCTAGTTGCTATTGCTTGTGTTTTTTAATATTTGTTTTAGGCTTTAGTAAAAATTTATTCGAGCTTATTAAGAAACTCGGCTTATATAAATATTTTTTAAATCCAATAAAGTTGGAAATCATTTTCTTAAGGATTAAAAATCTAATTTAAAAACTAAAATACATTAACTTTAACACAAAATTAGTTTATAAAAAAATGCAATATAGAAACTTAATTAAGAATCTATTGAAACAATTAAAAAAAATTAAACCAAACCCAAATAAAATTCGTTACAATAAATTAAAATCTAATAATTACGACAATAATAGGAAATAATAAAATATAAATAAAATTAATAATAAAATATAGAACAGATAAATAGAAACTTAATATAAAATAGAAAAAATTAATCATTCTAAATGATTGATGACATGTTCAAAAGCAAGTAAATTTAATTTAATAGAGAAATTTTTTTTAAAAATAAAATAAAAAATAAACACAAAAAACGAAAGTAAAAATAGCATAAAATTGAATAAAATAATTAAACTAAAGTAAATTAAACTAAAGTAAATAAATATAAAAAATTAAAAAGTATAATAAATAATTCAAAACAAAATTATTTAAATGAAATTTATCAAAATAATTAATAAAATTAATAAATTTGAAAAACATAAAACCAAATTAATAAAAAAATTAAGTAAAATAAAACAAAATTAGAAATAAAATAATATAAAATTAAATGAAAAAATTATCAAATGTAATTCATTAAAATAAAATAAAATAAAATTAATTAAATAAAATAAAAAACATAATATATAATAATATATAGTTAACAAATTTAAATAATTTAAAATAAAATTAATAAATTAGAAAAATATAAAATAAATGTAATAAAAAAAAGAAATAAATTAAAATAATTTTAATAAAATGAAAAAGAAGTAAATAAAACAAAATAAAGTAATATATTATAAAATTAAACGAATTAAAAGAATGAAAATAATTAAAAGTAGTAAAATAAAGTTAAGCAAAATAAAATAAAAATAATAACAAAAATTAATAAAATAAATATATAAAATAAAAATGATAATATAAATTAATAAAATAAAAAAATAACAATAAAAATGAATTAAAATAAAACAAAATAAAGTAATATAAAATAAAATGAATTTAAAAAATAAAATGTAATGAAATAAAATAATATAAAGTAAATTTAATAAAAAAGTAAAATAAAATACTTTAAAATAAATTTAAAAAAGTAAAATAAAATAAAGTATAATTAATAAAATAAAGAAAATTAAAATAGTTTAAAATAAAATAAAAAAATAATATAAATTAAAATAATATAAAATAAAATTAATAAAATAAATTTAAATAAATTTAAAAAAATAAAGAGGAATAAAATAAAGTAAAATAAAATAAAATAAAAAAATTAAATGAATTATATTAAAATTCAATAAAATGAATAAAATAAAATAAATTAAAATAATTTAAACTAATTTAAAATAAAATAATAAAATAAAAAAAGGTAAAATAAAATAAAATGAAACTAAAAAAATAAAATGAAAAGAATTAAAATAATTTAAAATCAAATTTTTAAAAGAAAAAAGATGTAAGAATAAAATAATGTAAAATAAATTAAATAAAAAAAAAATGAAGAAATAATATAAAATAAAATTAGTAAATTTAAATAATATTAAGTAAAATTAAGAGAATCAAGTAAATTAAAATAATTTCAAATGAAATAAAAAAAGAATATAAAATAAAATTAATAAAATATAAAAGAATTAAAATTAAGTAAAATAAAATGAGATAAGAAACTAAAATGAAATGATTTGAACTAAATATAAAATAAAATAACGTTTAAATCAATTAATTAATATATGTTAATAAAAAATTAATAAAAAATATGTTAATAAAAAAGCGAAAAAAAGTATTTGATTAACTAATATAAAATCTATTTTAATCATTTTAATTCAACAAAATTACTTTTTTAGCTTATAAATTTAATTTAATGCTTAAAATTTATTATTTTAATAACCTTCCCCTTTCACCAACATAAGCTTTTATTTCAATTTCATGCAATAATTTAGAATTATACCGTTAAAAAATGTATGCACAATTGTGTTTACAATTCGATTCGTTTCCATCTGATATATGTATGTATGTATGTGGCTGGGATATGTAGTAAGTACTTAGAATTGTAGACGAATAATGCTTAAAAATTTATACAATTTGATTTAGTAACTTATTTAAGCGGCTAACAGTTTATTACTGCAATCTTCTGTATTACTTGAAAAATAAAGAGTTTTTTTGTCAGCACTAAGCTAATAACGGTTGATATGTCATTTAGGTACAATATTTATGTAGAAATTATAGTATAAAAAAATTGTATAAAGTAAAATTGCTAAAATGTTAATTACTTAATGACAATTCTGTTCATAAATAAATATTTAAACATATTTAACAATTCTTAATCTTTTCATGAAGTAATTTAAAAAAATATATTCATATATTACTTATTTTTCATTTTTCAAATGTATGGAATAAATTTCTTTGAAAATTTATTTTATCGAAATTTTGTTAAAGCAAATTTTAAAAAAAATATCCAACCTTTACAGAAAGTATTTTTTCAATGTAGAAATTAGAATTTCCATTGTAGAAAATACAAATGATTTTGAATCTCTTTTTAACATTTGTTGTGGAAATTCTATTATAAAACTAAAAGAATAAACATAAAAAGTATTTTTTTTTAAATTTTTTTTAAATATTTTTACAAATTAAAAATCTTTTTTAAATTCTCGTTATTACTTTATTTTTAACTTTCACTTTAAAAGCTTTTTTAATTTTTTTTTGAAATAAGTATTTTTGAAATTTAAAGTATTGAAATTATTTTGCATTTTTTGTAGCGAAAGATTTTGTTGTTTTTTAATATTCTGTTAACAAAAATTTAAATAAAATATATTTGGTATATTTTGAACCTATTTCAGATATTTTGAATTTTGTTATATTAATTTGTTCGATTATTTTTTTTTGTGTGTTTGAAAATATTGTAAGCTTGGAACTCGATATTCAAAATAATTTCTTTTATACATAGTTTAAAAATTAAAGTTTGATTTTTACTATTTAATCATTTATTTCATTATTTTGGTTGTATTTTCTGATATTCTTAATTACATTGGCAAAGCGTTGCATTGAGCTGAAAATTTCAATATTTGGTTTTAGTAGTAGGTTTTATTCGATATTTTCATAGAGTATTTAGTAGTATATAACGTTGTTTGTTATTTTTGTTTCATATCAAATTTGCATTGAATAAAAGCTTCTTGAATGATTTATTTAGCTTAGTTAATATGTATGTATATGCAGGTATATATGTATGTATGCTTTTGCTGTTATACGTTTCGTTAGTATGAAATATGTTTGGTTAGTACGTATGTATGCTTGTGGTATAATTTATGTACTTAGTAGTAGATAAATAGTAGTAATAATAAATATGTATGTATGTACGTATGAGATTGGTTAGAAATATTTAGGCTATTAGAATTTGCTATTTACGCATGTATGTAGGTATGTATGCATTTCATAAATAACTAGTAGGCCACCCTCGTATTTACACGGGGATATGTTTTTCAATTCAAATACACAATTATTTTATTTTTATTATTTTTTTTTTCTAATTAATTGTTTTCTTTGTTAGCTAAATAGTTTATTAAATTAATTAGTCAATTAGTTAAAATGCAATTTGGTTTGGTTCAATTCGATTTTTTTCTTTTCTTTTTTTTTGTTTTTGTCTCAAGTTTTTCTTCCTCGCTTGACAGCCTTTATTACCTTTTATTACTTTCACTTGTTGCTACTACCTTTTCTATGGAGCACTTTTAAGTTTTGCTCCCTTTTCACACACAAATCCTTTGTTTCTGGTTTCACTTTTTCTATTTAAATTATTATTTTTAATTTGCTCTATTTTATTTATTTACTATTTTTCTGATTTTTTGCTTTCTTTTTTTTTTTGGTATTTTTTTTTTTTGCTACTACTTTTTTCTTTATACAAACACTACATCTATAAAAAGTTCTTCATGCCACCAGCATCCATTGTATTGCGTATAGTTGTTGTGTCCTTAATATCTTTGCTGGTGATTGGTGGACCTTTCGATTCAAAAGTCGGTTTGCCCATCGCCAATGCTGGATTCAAGTCTAACATCGTGCGCGGACTCATCGCCACGATGCTGGCGCCGATTGGGCCTTTATTGAGAAAATAGAAATATAGAAAAGAAATGGAAAATAAATGTTAGTCATTTTTTTCAAAGCAAATTCTCCAATGATAAGTTTCAAAGCTATTTTCAAGTAAAAGTAACTAGTGCAGTAAATTCATGTACAGAATTCTTCTAAATTAGCTAATTAATTAAACTGCAAAGTTGAAGAGACCAAGCGGTGCCAGAATTGTAAGAGTGTTGCTCTGCTAAATCTAAACAAAATCCGCTAAATTTAATACTATTTACTACATTTCTAAAGAGTTTATTTCATTTAAATACTTCACTAAAAAACTAAAAATATTTATAAAAGTCTAAAAGCAAGCGAAAAGGTTAAGTATTTATAAAAAAAAGGAATAAAAATTATTTTAATATGTATACTATATATAAAGGGTGATTTTTTAGCTATTATCTTTTTGACAACACTGGTTTAAACAGCTGACGCGCGTCTCGTGTTTTGTATCATCTATGTAACATCTTCAGTTTGGTCTATAATTTAACCCTTAATCGTCTTACAAACGAACAACGCTTGAAAATTATTGAGTTTTATTATCAAAATGCGTGCTCTGTTAAGAAAGTCAAAAAAAAAAAATTGTGTTCACTGTTAAATAAACAGAATTGTCGATTTTGGAGTGAAGATCCGGCAGAAGCATTGCAAGAGCTGCCAATGCATACAGAAAGAGAAAGTCACAGTTTGGTGCGGTTTATGGGCTGGTGGCATCATTGCACCGTACTCTTTCAAAGATGATGCAAATAGTAACGGAACTGTGAAAGGTGAGCGCTACCGTGGGCTGATATCATACTTTTTTTTTGCCCAAAATGTAAAAGCCTGACTTGCTTGCCATGTAGTTTCAACAAGACGGTGCCGCATGCCACACAGCACGCTTAACAATGGACTTATTGAGAGGCGATTTCGATGAAAATTTTATTTCACGTTCGGGATCGGTCAATTGGTCGCCTAGATCGTACGTGAGATACCGGCCGAAATGTTGGACAGAGTATGCCGAAACTGGACTAAGCGAATGGACCCTTTGATACGCAGTCACGCAGTGAAATAATTTTCAAAAATTAATTATATGGACCGTACTATCCATTCAAATAAAGATTTCATGCATTTTTCTGAATTTTATGTATTTTTTTTTTTAAACTTTCTTATAGCTTTTAAAAGATCACCTTTTATATATATATATATATAACATTCTTGAAGCATATATTTTTTATAAGCAAAACATGCAACATTTAAGCAAAGCCAGCATTAAAAATTTGTAATAAATATATTATAACTGTAAAGGTTAAAAAGATTAAAAAAAAAAAAATTTCTAAAGAAACTAGCTTTTTTAAACTAAATCAAGAAGCAACGATTGCAAGCTGAAAAGAAACTAAACCATTTAATGGTAAACTTTGTAAAGACCTTTCATTTCAAGGCAATCACATGTAAGTTACGTATACGCAGTGTGTTACTAGGAATTATTTACTTGGCCTTGATATATTCTCCTTTGTTCCTGCTTAGTAATTTTGAATATTACAGAGAAATGTTTTCTTTTCCACGAAGTGACAATATAGTTTGTTGAAGACCTTAAAACAAATGTAACAAACATGAACGGTATCTGCTGAGTAAGCCCTCAACTTTCTCATGAAGCCATAAGCTGTTTAAAAGATCCAATAGGTAGGAAAACAGTACCCACAGTCAAAGATCTCTTACAAAAAGGAAGACATTTAAGCCGCCATACAAGTGTCCAAAACTTGGCGAAATTGTAGCTATCCTACTACAGCAGTCTTTGTACAACAGGCTTAGCTGGCTCTATGTTGTATTCAAAAGATTCATTATTATAAACTCTTTATATAATTGACAGCTTGTAGCCACTCAAGTGATTTATGGTCGAGTTGTTCCTCCAATTATTGGTTTTCCCAAGAAATGTAGCAAACTACAGTTCATTCTCGCCTCCGAAAGGCCGATGGATTATTATGAGGAGATTTGAATTTCATGTAATATCACAAAATACGCCAGAAGGGCTTGAACATCCTTGCCATGGGGTTGACGCAATTATAAAGTTTTTTTTCCTGGGCTTCAGATTGATAGTACACAAAGGTAGCAACACAGCTGTTTTCATTCACAAATGTGAAAAGATATTCTGATATCTACAAGTTTACTGGAGTGCAATATATTAGCTGTTCATAGGAGCGAAAAGCAATCTTACATAAATTTGAATGATAAAAAACTCAAAATTTAATAAAGAAATTTATTTTATTTCCGATTTAAATTTTTTTTTTTTGATATTTTTGTATTTTATTATTATATTATTTTATTTCATTTTGTTTTACTTTATTTTCTAAAATTTTATTTTATGTTAATTAAAAAAATAGTATAAAATAAGATAAAATTCAATGAGTTAAAAAAATTGAACAAAATCAAATAAAGCATATAAACATAAAATATAAATTATATTTTATTTTGCTCAATTTTTAAACCCATTGACTTTTATCTTATTTTATGCTGTTTTATTTTATTTTATTTTATTTCATTTTATTTTAAGGTTTTTAATATTATTTTATTTTATTTTATTTAATTTTATTTAATTTTATTTAATTTTATTTTATTTTATTTTATTTTATTTTATTTTATTTTATTTTATTTTATTTTATTTTATTTTATTTTATTTTATTTTATTTTATTTTATTTTATTTTATTTTATTTTATTTTATTTTATTTTATTTTATTTTATTTTATTTTATTTTATTTTATTTTATTTTATTTTATTTTATTTTATTTTATTTTATTTTATTTTATTTTATTTTATTTTATTTTATTTTATTTTATTTTATTTTATTTTATTTTATTTTATTTTATTTTATTTTATTTTATTTTATTTTATTTTATTTTATTTTATTTTATTTTATTTTATTTTATTTTATTTTATTTTATTTTATTTTATTTTATTTTATTTTATTTTATTTTATTTTATTTTATTTTATTTTATTTTATTTTATTTTATTTTATTTTATTTTATTTTATTTTATTTTATTTTATTTTATTTTATTTTATTTTATTTTATTTTATTTTATTTTATTTTATTTTATTTTATTTTATTTTATTTTATTTTATTTTATTTTATTTTATTTTATTTTATTTTATTTTATTTTATTTTATTTTATTTTATTTTATTTTATTTTATTTTATTTTATTTTATTTTATTTTATTTTATTTTATTTTATTTTATTTTATTTTATTTTATTTTATTTTATTTTATTTTATTTTATTTTATTTTATTTTATTTTATTTTATTTTATTTTATTTTATTTTATTTTATTTTATTTTATTTTATTTTATTTTATTTTATTTTATTTTATTTTATTTTATTTTATTTTATTTTATTTTATTTTTATTTTATTTTATTTTATTTTATTTTATTTTATTTTATTTTATTTTATTTTTTTTATTTTATTTTATTTTATTTTATTTTATTTTATGCAATTTGATTTTATTTTATTTAAGCTTATTTTCATTTTATTTTAATTTATTTTGATTTAGGTAATTTATATTATATTTATTAATGAATTATGTTTTATTTTATATTATTTTAATTAGTTTAATCTCATGACTTTTGTTGATCACATTATCACTAAAAATTATAAAAATTATTTCCAAAAAAAAATAATAATTTTATCAACGTAAAGACATTCGCATATATTAAAATAATTATTAATTGTGTTTAAATGCTATTTACAGTTAAAAGCATGCTGTTATTTTTGTAAGAATAATTTTAAAAAGTTCTAAGCTGTTTGTAAAAATGACTAAAATATTAACACATCAATTCTTTTTTTTATTTTAAATAAAAATAAATAAATCGAAGGTTTCTGAATGAAAGGGTAGGGGAAACTAGTGGAATTGCTAATTATGTGAGTGTATTCACACCTATACCAAAATGGTTCTATACTAGGGGTGGTGCTATTGGGGTCGACAGCGAAAAAAAATGTCTGCTTAAACATATATTCGTGTATATTTTTACATATATACAAATATGCTATTGCACTATATATGTAGAACAATTTTTTGAAGAAAAATATATACAATCAAATGTTTTTTACAGTTAAATAATGGAGTAATTAGAAAAATGTTATTTATTTAAGTGAACACACCCGCCCAGAATCCGCAGGTAGGCAATATTTGTTTAAATTTTCGTTACGGCTTAGTTTTTGAATTTCAATTTTCAAATTTTTCGGGTTACTTTTTCACGCATTTGTTTTTGTTTCTTGTATACGGTTACTTTCGCTTTTGTATTTTTGGTGTTTGTTTTTGCGCAGTTGGTACATTTACAAGTTAACGATAACTATATACATATACATACATATATGTTTTCGAATATATATATATATATACACTATATATATGCAAATTAAAATCATGGTAGTGTTTTGTAGTGAATTTCTTTAATTTTTCTATTTGTTTTTCTGTTTGCTTGTTTGTTTGATTTGTATTTGAGTATTGAGATTACGTTATCGGGTATTACAACAACATGTACAAATAGTTAGTCGAAACTGAAGGCCATATCTGAAAAGGTAATAAAAATTGGTAGAAATATGAAAAAAGTGTTTGATTTACAAATCTTTTAATTTAATTTACATTCTTGACTTTATTACTCAAGAAAAAAAATGATGATGTAGAACACAAATAATGCAGAGCGCCCTCTACAGCTTATTACACCATTTTATAGGCTTCAGTACATTTGGAAGGAATGAAATCGGTATTGAGGAAGCAGCGAAGATTTTAACGGTATTCAATTTTATAAAATGTACATCCCTAGTATGGGAAAATTCATCAAAAATTAAGACAAAACTTTTGTACTAAACAGAACCAAATATTCAAAAAGCTCTACCCCAAAAAGATCTAAAATAAGATTAATCAAATTAAAGTTTTTAAGATGAATACGATCTTAACCAAATATTCTCTTTTTAAAAAAAAAAAAAAGACTGCGACTTCAGTTTGACTAAGGG